CTCTCTCCCTTCCACTCTATGAAAAGCAATGGAAAAAATATCCTGGGGTGAGAATTTAAAAAATAAAATAAGATAAAATAAAAATTTCCTTGTGTCAACTAGGTTTATTACGTCAGAGTCTCTACATGGGAAGAGCCTAAGAGTCTGTATTTTTAAATTAATATCCCCAAGAGATTCTGATCACTGGTTGGATTTTGGAACAATTGATCCAGGTTACATTTGCATTTACCTGAGACTCCCATCTTTCTTTAACTTTTTTTTTTTTAATTATTTGTTTTTAAATATATCTTTATTGATTTCAGAGAGAGGAAAGGAGAGGGAGAGAGAGAGATAGAAACATCAATGAAGAGAGAGTCATTGATCGAGCCCACAACCCGGGCATGTGCCCTGACCAGGAATCGAACCCCGATCGCCTGGATCCCAGGTCCACGCTCAGCCGCTGAGCCACGCCCGGCCGGGAGACTCCCATCTTTCTGATCTAGCACTTTTTTCACTCAAATGTTGACCACAAGGCAGTATTTAGAGCAAGTGTTCATCTGTAAAATTACTATGACTTCATTGGTGACTGCTGCCTATATTTAAGACTTGACTTGAGTTTAACAACATATTCTCCAAACGATGGAACCACTATTTCTACTCTGGTGCCCCTCATTCTCAGATGATTCTCGAGTTTGGACTATTAGATTTTTTTAAAGTATAGATGCTGCCTGCCATTTTTACATAGAACTGAAACTAACTTCTGAAATCCTTCCCTTCTCCAACGAGGCAAGTGATTTGATGGTTCTTCTTGAGCTTCCACTATAGCTCAGCTCTATACCAAGTTGAAATGTGTTGGTGCATAATTATGGCTAAACCTATCAAATGGAGTGATTTCTGTTTAACAATATTAAATGTGCTTTTATATAATGAAAGTAGTAATATTATTTGCAGACATTTGGGGAAATATAGAAAAATATAGAACCACTTATAATTTCAAAGCTAACAGAGAAGAAGCTAATATTTGGTTTATGTTTTTCTTGTTTTCCTATACATATTTTAGTACCTGAATTTATCACATTGTGTCATGGAAAATTTACCATGTTATTTAATGTTTCCTATAATATTATTTTCTATAATACACTTTTTAATGGCCATATAATAGTTCATTGCGTGAATGTACTCAAATTTTTTAAGCAAGTTTTTATCATTTGACATTTAGATTTTTTGAACTTTTTCTAATAAAGATAACACTAAAATTAGTATCTTCCTACCTTAACCTTTTGGCATATATATATATTATATTATATATAATATTATATATTTTCTTCTAGAATAAATTTCTAGAAGCAGAATTTCTAAAGAAAATATCAATTTTTGGCATTCTAAAGCTCATGAATATATATATGTAAATTGTATCAATTTACCTTTGGCACATAGAATTATAGGTGTGTGTTTTTAAATTTTTTCTCCCTCACTAATGCTGAAAGTTATAATTAA